GTGAGGGGGTGATGGGGTGAGTGAGTGAGGGGGTGATGGGGTGAGTGGGTCAGTGGGTGATGGGGTGAGCGGGTGAGGTGGTGAGTGAGTGAGGGGGTGAGTGATGGGGTGGGTGAGTGATGGGGTAGGTGAGTGGGGAGCCAGCGCTAACCCGGGGCTGCTCTCAGCACAGAGCCAGCGGGTACCTTCCCGTCTCAGTGTGCAGGTCCCCAGCCTGGAGCTACACCGCCCGGGATCAGAGACCTCTCCCTCTCCCTCTCCCTCTCCCTCCCGGGGGTGGGGGCCGAACCTTAAACAGCACCAAAGCCCGGAGCCGGGCAACTGAAGCTCCTCCGTCCGCCCTTCCCTTTGCGTTCAGCTCCAATCTGTAGATTGACTCAAACCTGTCCTTCTCACAGATAAAACAGACATTGCACTTACCTCCAGTCTCATCCCCAGCGGAAGACATTTCAATGAGAGTCTCCTGGTTTTTGCCATTGTATAGGTTCATGTTCTCCCATGTACAGGAGCCGCTAACACTGCCTCCTACTACCCCGCCTCTCTCTCTCTCTCTCTGTTTCTGTAGCCGCTTCACATCCAGCTTTCCCGACGGGTGCCTTAAAGGGATGGTACCGCTCCTTTTTCAATCGGCAGAATGTATTTCCCTACAAAGGTTGCAGGTTTCAAGCGGTCCCCCGTCATCCTGGGGCACCCGGGTTTGTCACAGGAGTGTTTTTAGCAGGTTTCCCAAAGCCCTTGCGTACATTTAAACACAGCCGGCAGCAGGGCATTTCAGGGTTTCGAGGCTGGAGTGCATTCGGCCCATCCACTCTATACCTGCTCTGCACATGAGCATTACGATGTTGTGGCCTTTTCAAATAACAAATCATTCACAGGATGAGGGAATCACCGCCGAGGCCATCTCTCGTTGCCCAGAGGGCAGTTAAGTGTCACAGAGTTTAAGAGATGTACAGCACGGAAACAGACCCTTCAATCCAACTCGTCCAGGCTAACCAGATTTCCTAAATTAATCAAGTCCCATTTGCCAGCATTTGACCCCTATCCCTATAAAACCTTCCTATTCATGTCCCCATCCAGATGTCTTTTAAATGTTGTCATTGTACCAGCCTCCACCACTTTCTCTGGCAGGTCATTCCTCACACGCACCACCCTCTTTGTGAAAAAGTTGCCCCTCAAGTTCCTTTCAAATCTTTCCTCTCTCATCTTAAACCAATGTCCTCTAGTTTTGGACTCCCCTACCCAGGGGTAAAGACCTTAGCCATTAACCCTATCCCAAGCCCCTCATGATTTTATAAACCTCTTCAGGTTACCCCTCAGCCTCTAAAGCTCCAGGTTAAAATAGCCCCAACCTATTCAGCTTCTCCCTATAGGTCAAACCCTCCAACCCCGGCAACATCCTCGTAAATCTCTGCTGCACCCTTTCAAGTCTTACAACATCTGTCCTACATCAGGGACACCAGAACATAGCTGTGGGCCTGGAGTCACATGTAGGTCAAGCCAGATAAGGATAATAGATTTCCTTCCGTAAAGGGCATTAGTGAACCAGATGGGTTTTTCTTCCAACAACTGCTAATGGTTGCATGGTCATCATTAGACTCTCAATTGCATTCAAAGTTCACCATCTGCCACAGAGATTGTCCCTGCTAAACTCTTCCAAAATCCCTTCTTTCAATCCTCCTGAGTACAATAGCACAGACCTCCAGCAGCAAGGCAGCTTCTGGTGATTTAAACCTGGACCTTTTCTTCAAATGGTGAATCCACTCACCACCATGCTGCTGCCATACCTGTGGCATATTGATGAAGAGTCACTAGACTGGGAATGTTAACTCTGCTTTCTTCCCACAGAGGAGATACATGTAGGTTCCTGCTCTCAGACACACATTGCAAACCAGATGCTGGCATCTGGACTTTGACAGTCTGTCACGATCTTCTCCGTCCAACTTGCATCTGGTGGAACCGGTGTCGATCAAGCCCTGCCTGCCTTGTACAGCCCAGTGCAGTTAGTGACTCCGTCATTCAAAAAGACAATATCCTCCAGCTCAATGTCCTTAGCCCTCTCCTCTGAAAATTGCTCCATTTCACCCAGCTCCTCGGCATATAACGCATTGCATCATTGCCTGCTCTGTGCAGAATCAGCATGCTGGGATGCTGCGCCACACTCTTGCTGGACTATACTGAAATGCCACCCCCCGACAACCCACGCACACACCGCTCCAAGCTGTGAACTGGACCTTTAGCAGCCCATCTGTTTTACCATAGTCCAGCATGCAATAGGGTTAGGGTTAGGGCTAGGTTTAGGTTTATGGTTAGGGTTAGGGTTAGGTCTGGGGTCAGAGTTAGGGCTAGGGTTAGGCATGCGGCATGTGAACCAACTTGGTGCTCTCCAACTCCTTCCCATCCCAGACCCACCTCAAACATTCCACATTCAATTGCTTTCACTAGAGTCCATCATTGTACTTCCATGTACCATGATGCAGCAATGTCCCGCAGCACCCTTGGATGTTCCATAGACGATGGGACACTTTTGTTCATCATTCACCTCTTTTTAAGTGAATGGAGCCAACAGTGCCCACATCCCATTAATGAATAAAATGAATTTTTAAAAAAACCACAGCTGGATATTCATTCCCATGTGTCCAGTTAGGAAAGCTAGCTTTTGAGTTTCAGCAGGACTAGCCTTGGTGCCCCTGTCACCATGACCACCATGTTTTATGGCCTTATCACTGAGCACAACAGTCTACTTCTCTATGTTATTTGAACTGAAAGAGACAGTTTCAACATAGCAATTTTCTAACTTCTCACATTTGTAAAGTAAATGCATTTTGAAAGATCATTTACAAAATGATGCAGTCATTTGATCTTTCACATTTCATGGCTTCTTAATCTAAAAGCAAGGAACTGAGGGTCAAATAAGTGACCACTTCCTCAGTAGTCATTTTCTGTGTTGTGACTTAATTCCCTCCTTACCACAATATCCACTTAATTTACATTGTGTCTCTCTAAGTTTCTGGTCAATGGTAAACATCCTGGGAGTTATCATTGACCAGAAACTCAACTGGACTCACCATATAAACACAATGGCTACAAGAGCAGGACAGAGGCTAGAAATACTGCAGAGAGTAACTCAGGGTGTAGACATGCTTGCCGAGCCGGTGGGTTTGGTTGCAAACAATTCGTCATCCTGCTAGGTAACATCGTCAGTGCGCCTCCGGTGAAGCGTCGGTGTTCTGTCCCGCTTGTTATTTATATACCTTGGTTTGCTGGGGTGTTTGGTACCACTTCCAGTTCTGTTTCTCAGTGGTTTGTACACAGAGTCTAATTCAAATTGTTTGTTGATGGAGTTCCAGTTAGAATACCAGGCCTCCAGGAATTCCCTGGCATGTCTCTGTTTGGCTTGTGTGTTTATGGACGTGTTATCTCAGTCAAATTTGTGTCCCTCTTTGTTCGTGTTTGTGTCCCTCTTTGTTCAAACACATTAAATTAGACCCTGTGAACAAACCACTGAGAAACAGAACCGGAAGGAATACCAAACACCCCAACAAACTGAGGCATACAAATAACAAGCGGGACAGAACACCAATGCTTCACCGGAGGCACGCTGATGATGTTACCTAGCAGGGTGACAAGAAGTTTGCAACCAAACCCATCGGCTCGGCGAGCAAGTCTACACACTCATCCACAACCCGAGCTACAAATCTTCTTGAAAGCTTTAGAGAGTAACTCAATTTCTGACTCCCCAAAGCCTGTCCACCACCTACAAGGCACAAGTCAGGAGTCTGATGGAATACTTCCCACTTGTCTGGATGCGTGCAGCTCCATAAACGCTCAAGAAGCTTGACACCATCCAGGACAAAGAAGCCACATCCATGAACATCCAATCCCTCCACCACTGACGCAAATCAGAAGTTTGTACTATCTACAAGATGCACTGTAGAATTTTACCAAAGATCCTTAGATAGCACTTTCCTAACACACAACCTATTTCCATCTAGAAGGACAAGGGCAGCAGATATATGGGAACACCAGTCCCTGCAAGTTCCTCTCCAAGCCACTCACCATCCTGGCTTGGAAATGTAATCACTGTTCCTTCACTGTTACTGGGTCAAAATCCTGGACTTCCCTCCCTAAGGGCATTGTTGGTCTACCTACTGCACAGGGCTGCAATGGTTGCAGGAGGCAGCTCACTACTACCTTTTCAAGGGCAAATAGATACGAGCAATAAAAATACCAGCCAGCCAGCGATGCTCATGTCCCACAAGTGAATACAAAAAGAACTTTACCCTCCAGCTCCCAGAGTGAACGTCTCTGCAGTCAGACAGACTCTTTAACTCTGCCTGATTTTAATTGTGGACGTAACAAAATAGCTGAGCTCTTTTCCTGACCATTCATAACAATTTAATGCAATAGTTTGAAAAAATATACAAGTTGCCTATTGCATAGTTTCAAGAAATTTGAAAGGTGAATCTCCTAGTCTCTTTTGAGTTTGAAACAGTAAAACATTTGTCTTGACTTCAGCCATCAATTATCTTCGGGTGGCACGGTGGCTCAGTGGTTAGCATTTTTGCCTGACAGTGTCGGAGACCTGGATTCAATTCCAGCCTTGAGTGACTGTCTGCGTGGAGTTTGCACATTTTCCCCGTGTCTGTGTGGGTTTCCTCCAGGTGATCCGGTTTCCTCCCACATCCAAGGATATGCAGGTTAAGCGGATCGGCCATGCTAAATTTCTCATAGTGTCTGGGGACATGTAGGCTAGTTGGATTAGCCATGGGGGGTTACAGGGACAGGATAACTAAAATGCAAGCTTCATTAGAAACAAACAAAGGTTTCTCTCTTATGTGGTGGAAATGTGATTGTGGTACTGAACTTACAAATTAGTGGTCAAGAGTTCAAATACCACATGGTAACTTTCAAACTAAATTCACTAAATCTGGTCACTTGCAAGCTAACCTGTAACCTTGATGATGGCTGCAGAGGGAATGAGGAGCATTATAACTGTGACAGATGATGTTCTGTGTGTGTTTGATTCGGGTCTTTCCGGTGCTGTCCTGGGAAATCCTGATCAGAGAAGTGAGAACAGCAGAAACAATGAGCATAAATTTGGAAGGTAACAGCAAGTTCGAGGGTTTTGTTCAGGGAGATGGGAGAAAAGGAGGTTGGAGTAGGAACAGTAATAATTTACAAGGAGAGAAGAGGGGAATGGGGGAGGATTTTTTGAGATGAGAGATGAGGAAGGCAAACCATTTCCAAAGTCAGCCAGCAAAAAAATGTTGCACAATGGCATTTTAATGGAAAGAGGGTTAAGAAGCTGATTTTCACAGAAAAGACAAGCTCCATGAAGAAAGAGGAGACAAATCAGCTGCTGGCTACGTTAATCAGAATATTGGGAGCAGGTTGTTTCACATCAATGAATCCCCACTTTTTCTCTCTCCCAATTTATCTGCCATCTTTCTCTCCGGTGTAATTACTTTGTTATCATGGTTGATGACTTATTTTATTGAAGCCTCCCAACAACAGCTTATACCTTTCATCAGCTTGCTTACCCAACCCTCCATGCTGATGGTAAGTCTCTTATTATCAAACT